GATCCTGGGCCACACCAAGCGCCTCCACGCCATCAGCCCGCGGATCCCAAGATCCTGGGCCAGACCAAGCTCCTCCACGCCATCGGCCCGCGGATCCGCAGATCCTGGGCCCGCCTGAGCAGGTCAAGCTGAACCTTTGATCCCGCACGGGCCTTACGGCTCTGCCCTCCCCAACGACCAGATGGCTTTGGACCAGCACGATGGTTTGGAGGTGCCGGCTTCGCCATCACAAACTGGCCAATGAGAACACTGACCTTCACGTTTCCACGAAGCGCGTCAGGAAGCACATGCTGTGGCACATGTGAGCTCGCGGGATCAAAAGCCATCAAGGACTGGCAGGTGTGTAAACTTGGTTTGGGCCGAGAGAACCTGCCTGGTAAGCAAGTCAGAATTTGCATGAACAATCATTCCCCACCTACATGCCATCAACACTGACCTGTCCTTGATCCACGGGTGGATGCGAGCCAAGTCTTGCGCCAGCAGTTGACCAGTATGCTCCCCGCACCTGATGTACTGCAGCCGCCGAATGGCTCCACACGCTTCCAGGTCTCGCTTCAGCAGCTGCCAAGCTTTCTTGCATGCAGCAGCATTGTCCTGGCCAATGCCAGCCAAATTGCCCAGGCCAACGCGATCGACCTGTCTTCGAAGAATCTCCTCAAACAGGAATGAGTGTGCAAAACAAACTCACATGCGTGGTTTACCCGATGCAAATTCACATGCCCTGTCCTTCAAATACACTGCGTCTTGCTTGTGGCTACCACAATCAGCCAAGCAAATATGCCAGCACTCGCCCCGAGCATTGGTAGCATCGACTGTCACCAATGCATCCCCTCGGTTCGTGGCACCATCAGAAGATAGAAACCAAGGACCATGTGCTGGGTCCTGCAGTCGCGCTGTGATCTTTTCCTCCAATTCTTCATGTAGCGAGCACAAGGCAGAGTCGAGCTTCTTTCGGCCTGCGCGCGCTCACTCCGATGCAATGCAACCAGTTCAAAAAACGCATTTGGGACATAGAAGGGTGAAATCAGACAAAAAAATCCACAGTGCTTTCTGAGGTTGAAAAAACGCATTGAGGATATATATGGAAGGATGAACTTGGAGCAAGCAACCCAAATGCATTCTTTCAAGTTGAAAAACCGCATTTGGAACACCGAGGCATGATTGCAAAAGGTCCTGCCTGGGTGATTCACATCAGGAGCTATGTAACGCAAAAAGTTCTCCCAGTGTGACCCATTGCCGGCATTCATGGCGACACCTGAGCAAACAAAGGCTACAACCTGTCTGCGAGTGGCCTCCTCATTGGAGATTGGCACCCGCTCTTCTGGTCGTTCAACTCCACATGGCTTGTAATCTATTGGCACCCAATGGTTGAAAATGGCCCACTGCACAGCTGCAGGAATACCCAAAGCAGCCCAATTGAGGATCTGGTCTTTGGTCGCTGCTTCCTTGCAACCAGACGTTTTGTTTCCCTGCTTCTTGTAAGCAACCAGCCATTCCCTGTAGGGTAGGGGAATGTCCGACGTCTTCTTGAGCTTGTGCAATTCGATGTACGAGCTCTCTTTCAGCGAAATTCCTTTAAAGCACATGTGTTCCAATGGGCGGGTCAAGCCTCTCATGGAGTTCTGCCAAGGGCACTTCGAACAAACCCAAAATGGCTTGGAGTTGCCACTCTGCACATACAGGAACCATGCCTTCACAAGCTTGCTCTGTTGCTCGCTCACGCCCCGAGCAGGAAATTTCACGTGCCGCCACTCCTCCCCAACAGAGTGGCCTGCATGGCGCAGCAACAGAACCTGTTCCGGTGTTAGGGCCGACATGGCTGCTCGCTCAGACTTTACTTCTGGCACTCTACTACCCAAAACCAATTCCCAAATGCATTTGTTCAACGCAAATAATCGCATTGGGGTGTCCCTACAAAACAGAGTGCTGCAACGCAACTTCTGAGTGCCAGCACGCGCAGGTACGAGTGCCGCAACGCGAGTGCTGAACCAACTAAGGTTCCAGTTGCCTTTGGACAATGTGCTCTTGACGTGGAAACGGGAGTATGAAGTTTGGGAAGCTCGGAAGAGTCAACGGATTGCTCGCGGCAAGACTGATCTTCCTCCCAAAATGCAGGAAGCTTACAGTGCTTGGTTGGAATCGCCAACCCGGGTTCTGGTCTTAGACAAGAACAGGAAGGCAATGGTAACCAATGTTGCAGCCAAGAGCAAGACTCAGCTCCGGAAATCATGCCTGATGCTGGTGGTTCATCCTTCAGTGGATCCCAAGGACTTGTGGATCAAAGCGGGAGATGGCAAGCAGTGGTCACTTCGTTTGCTGGAAGGGCGTGCTATACCAGATGTTCAGGTACCTGCGGAAGTTGATTTCTTTTCAGGCCGGCAATTGATTCCAAATTGATTGTTTTGTTAGTGTATTTGAAACCTTTCTATCTGTAGTGTTTTGTTAGTGGAGCACATTTGTTTTCGACCGACCATTGTGTTCATATTCTATCTGCATTGATTTGAGCTCGTTTTAAAAAGAATTGAAGTGGAAGGTGATCTTCCCAACACTTTGGTGCCAATGACCATGGATGACGGAGAACCTGATGAAGAGGAAGCAATGGCAAACCATCAATGCGCTGATGCTGGTATCCATGGGGAAGCTGATGTCTTGGATTCAGGGGATCCGATGTCAGATGATGATGCTGTTCCCAACGCATCTGGTGGGTGGCTCTATTTGCAGAACTCAGAGTCAGAGCCTGAGGATGATATGCCTCAGGAAGTGCATGACAAAAACAAAATCACGCGTAGGAGAGTGTGTGAAGAACAGAGTGAATACCAAGATCTCCACAACTTGGGCCTCACTGAACGTCCTGCAGGATGTTCCATCGGTATCCATCCAGCATCCAAAGTCTGGAGAGCATGCGCAGCAGGATCACAGCACCATGGAAGGTGCTTTGGCCCGTCCTCCGGCCGCACAGCCCGCCAGGCACTTCTAAGAGTCATTGAGCTGATGTTGGTTGACCATATGCAGCAGTGCCCAACAGACCGGCTTGCCAAACGGCAACTTGAAAGGGTCCGTTCTGCTCGAGAGGCCGAGGGGCCGCACAAGGATTAGGAGGATCCCGCGTGTGATTTTGAACACACGAATTCAATCATGTGAAGTACAGACATGGCAAGAATCCATCGAATGCTTGGCTTGGGAGAGGAAAAAGAAAGGGTGCAGCTGTCATATGCAAGAATTGTCAGGTTCAGCTGTTGTATATTCTATCTGTATGCTTTGTGTTTTTCATATTCTATAATTTTTTTATTTTAAGATTATAGTCTGGAAGTAACAAACCATATTCTATCTCCAACCATAATGTTTTTTAATATTCTATCTGCTAGCTACCTACTATATATCGTGCTCACGATCGCTTCTCCCATGTCACTCCGATTGATCAAGGAGGACCCTTGATTTTCGACCCTTTTTCACGCCCTCGAGACACCGATTTCGCAGCTCGACGTCAAGTTCTCCCGCAGATTTGCTGCCAGGAGGCAGAACAAGAAGCAAGCACAGGCCATGCCATGGCTAACGCATCTTGAACCAAATGCCTGTCATCAAACAGGCTGCCTTTGAAATTATCTCCACCTCCATGCTTTTGAGAATAAGCTTACATAACTGATCACTGACTGATCACCTCTTGTGAAAGATTTTGTCATGGTCACACAGGGCCAGCAACATCGTCACAAGAAAAAGAAGAAGGTTGGCTTGCTAAACAGCCATCAGTACCGCTGTTGTACTTCTGGCGCACATCAGAGTTTGATTAGCATTGTCGCCATTGTTGATTTCACCCAGGGATATTCCCAAGTTTCCTTAACTTCAACAAGTCTGTCTCGAGTTTTCCTGTGCCACCAAGTACCAAGCCATCAATTCTAGACTATCCCTTACAATTAGGCTTGTGTTAGGAAATGGACGTATAAGCGTACTGTATAACGATATCTGACTATAAACTGTTTAAAAAAATAGCACTTCAGGGAGCTGCCATTTCTCTACACTGATCACCAGCTCGTCAGGCATGCACACCAGCAGCACACACTACCAAAAAAGGATCATGCTGTCACGCAGCAAGACTTGAAAGAGAAAGCTGAGAGAGCCCGGGAAACGCAAGATTCCTTGCGTCTCCAGCACAAACTCCTTGTGTCGCACGGAACGGTTCCCTTCACGGGCCATCTTCAGCACCCAAAAAGAGCTGCGCTGTTCGCAACCCCCGAGTCTGAAACGGAGTGTCTGCTGGCAAAACTGTGTCGCGAAATTCTGAAACTGCTGCACTTCGGCAAGTCGCAAGTCCGTTTGACCGGGGTGCCAGAAGACTGACGCAAGACATGAGCTGGTTGATGAAAGTTGTGCATTGTTACAGGCAGAATTTCCAACCAATGAGTCTTTCTGTCACTCTGGTCACCTCGATCTCCGGTCTACTGAGTCTACTTCAATCTATTTCGCCTATCAGGCCTATCGGGCCTATCAGTTCGAAGGGTTCATTCCCGCAACCTCACGCGTGTCGTTTACGCGGAAGAAAGGAAAACTCAGCCCCAATCCCTCACAAATGAGCCAGAGCCCAAAGATCGCAATTGAAGGTGGTTCAAAAGGTACACACTCACTTACTTGCAACACAACCTTCCTCCACAAACGGGTGGGTTTGGCACTTCCATGCGATGTGTTCCTCGAAGTGTAACAGACCCGTTTGCACCCGCCAAAATGTGGCCCCGGGGCTTCGTTGGTTGCAATCGACCACGGCCGTCTCCCGAAAGCCGTCTTGCTCCAGAAAGAATGGCAAAAAGAAAAGAAATTACAGTCAGTAAAGGGTGCCCGCGGTTCGATGCACTCCTCTCTATCTGAACAGTCGGTTGGTTAGACCAGTCCAGTTGATCCTTCTCCTGCACCGGAATACACCTGATGGCAACATCAAGTCGTTTTCTGCAAGGAACCATAAATGCAACACCTGTCTTGGGGACGGCTCATCCTCTCATCTACTAGCATCAGAGAAGAAGTACTCTTCCAGATCATCCAGCCTGGCTAGGTACAGCGGACCCGCCCCACGGGACCGCTGCCGGTACTCGTGGTTCCACGGCGGGTGACGGTACCGGCTGCCTCAACCGCCTCCGTGAGCAGCCTCTCCATGTACTGGCGGAGGACATGGAAAAAGGCACCCCGATGGCGAGGACATGCCAAAGGGATCCCGATGCAGTTGACAGGAAAGCGTTACACATCGATGGAAAAACAGCGTCGACCAGCAAACCGGTGCTGGAAGAAATACGTGGCCTTTGGTGTCGAATGAAAATGCAACCCTCTTGTCTAGTTAAGTCTAGTTGGTCGGAGGGAAAACCGCGCCAAATGTTGACAAACTCTGGACTGCACGAATCCCGACTCCAGGGATCTAGGCCTAAAATTGCAAATCTTCTCTCCAGACCCCGTTCCAAGCGACTTGCCTTGCTTAAAATACCTTCCAGAAAACGAAGAGAGAGGAAACGGCGCCTCCTCCGCCTCCCCCTCCCCCATCCACTCCTCGAAGCGCACGCCGTTCCACCTCGGGCGCCAACAGCGGTGCCCCGGGCGAGCCCGGCGCCGAGGGCGCCGTGAACGGCGGCAGGCCCTGCCGTGCCTGGGCGGGATGTAGATGAAAGACAGACTTGCACACAGGTGCGAAGTGATTTTGGTCATTGCATTGCAGATGACTCTTTATTCATTCATTCGAACTTCCTTTCATTGAGCCACCGGTCGATACCGGTTACCGGTCCCGGGCCCTCGGGCCCTCCACCAGCTTTGCACCTGGGAAAGTCCAGGGACATGCCATCGGTCGGCCCAGTGTTTCTTCGGGTTTCAAGGACCGGGACCAGTGTTTTCAACGAAGGTCTTGGATCTTCCAGAGAATCATGTTGACAAGATGGTTGACCCCGAGTCCTGGAGATGTAACCACAACCCTTCTCATCAACCGTGCTGGCCCTGATCAGCCCCGTGGGCCTTAGCTTTATTGGCGATTTCCCCAACAGTGCTTCCAGTCAATGAAGAGCAGATGGAGAAATTCTGGGGCGGGAAATCTTGCGCCAGCACCAATCATGATCATCTTCCCAGTGGGTCTTGGACAGTTCATCTTCCTATCCAGTCCTGAGTCCACATCCAGCCACCCCACATCCACCCCCACCGCCACCTGGGCTGCACTCGACCCATCCACCCACCGCCACCGGGCCGCCCGACTTTGATGGCGGCCAAATCCCGAAGGAGTTGCATCGCCTTGGAGTGGGCCGCGCCCGAGCCCGAAGGGGTTTGGGGTTCTCTTTTCCAACGCATCGCCGAGGCGAAGGAGTCGGTGTTGGTCTTGTTTCTTTCCGCCGGTGTTCGCGGTGGTGCTGGGGCGTTCAGTTTCGGAGGGCGCCCCCGGCCCCCCTTCCAACGATCTTGTTTCGAGGTCCCACGGAACTTGAGGTCGTGACTCTTAGATACTCTTAGTAGGGAGGTTCGTTCATGTGCTCCCATCTCAGGAGGGAAACACCTCAGCAACTGTTGATCTAGATGTTCATGTCCCAGGGGGGTGTTTGGATGGCAAGCCGTTTTTGAGCAGCCGCACTACGGCTATGAAGCTTCCCGCTCGGCTTCCCTGAAGCCGGAAGAGTTCTGGGGCCTCCAGCATCCATCATATTTTCATAGACGAGCTTGCGGCGCAGCAGTTCCTGTTTCCACCACCTGCGGTGCGAGGGTCACAGCTTCAAAGCAACCAACCAGCTTCTGAACAAAACAGTCAGCCAACCAGAATGACGAACCAGCTCCACCAGCTCCAGACTGCACTTCGGAAGGAACCCCCAATCATGCGGAAGCATTTGATTTGCTTTGCTGTTTCTTTGCTGCCAGGGCTCACAAGCCCTGGCAGCCCCTCTTGGAGATAGCATCTGTGTCACACACGGCCGTCCCGACCCCCTAAGCCTTTGGAGCTTGAAGCAAGCCGCCTCAGGTCTTAAAGCAAGCCGCTTAAGGTGGAGGCTTTGCAGCTTTCCCGTGTCGTTTCACTGGGGAGTTTCACCAGTTTCGAACCAAAGTAGTGAAACAAAGAGTTTAAACAAATTGTTTTAGTCATGGAGTCCTGCACCTCTAACAATTGGGTGCCACCCAGAGTTCTCCAAAAAAGGGTCACCGCAACCTCTCTGCAGGACATCTGGTCATCTGGTCAGCCACGACATGCACCCTTCCACCGGCGAAGGGTTGGGGCACCCACATGTATTCGTCTCCTCTGCGCCAGCTGTGCCGCGAAATAGGCCTCCGAATGCCTGAGCCCGTTCTGCGGAACCCACGCGGAACGAACGCGGAACCCACGCGGGGTGGGTGCGAAGGTGCCGGAAGTCAGATGCAGGAAGTAAGGCTGGCTGGATCAGTTTGCTTGAAACAACACGGATCCACGGATTGCTAGATATGGTGGGCTCACTCTAAACACATGTTTGTCTCATCAAGAAAGCCAGGGACGCTCGGCTTTGGAGGGTTCTACAAAACAAAAACAAGGGAGATCAGCCCTTGTTCTGAACACAATTTCGAAGAGCACCTAGATGAGCTGCGATATGGACTGAGAGTAGTCTTGCTGCAAAAAAATAAAAAAAATTGCACACCTCGAACTACTTACTGTTTGAGTCTCTGGGTGCATATAAAGACGATGATGTTCTTATCCAATGGGTTTTGAGGCCAAACAAGGTCACCGTGTTCTGATTGTTTGCCCACTTCAAGCATCAGCTTTGGAGGACTGGGAGACACAGCGGAAACGGACGCTACCTTTGTCATGCTTGAGTCGCTTGCTTGAGGCAAGAAAATGAGGTACCCTCCACTTCCCAGAGAAACGTTTGCCCTCTCACCGACCTACGCATGGTATTTCGTGGGCCGGGTGGGCCGGTCGTCCGGTCGTCCGATGGCTCGGTTTCACCAGGTCACCGAAAGTCCCTGCCCTCCCCGCTCCCGACCGCGGGACGGGTTCGGCGCGGTGGCTAACAGGGCGAGGCACTGCTCCCGCTCACGCTCCCAAGCAGCAGCTGCATCGCAGCGGATGCCCAGGTGATGCTTGGGTCGGGTGGACTGCGGGCGGTGCGACAGGACGGTCACACCCGGTGTGGAGCGGAGCTCGGTCAGGCCATTTCGACTCGACGGGACGGAAACCGACGGATTTCCACTCGAAGGCAGGAACCTGCAGTGTTTTCTGGACCTCAGATCGATCTGGACCAGTGTACATCTGCCCTTGCAAAAGTGCATTTGAACAGCACTTCTGCTCCTAGCTTGGAGGCCATCGCTAGTTAGGTTGGAGGCCACTACCAGTAGCTTCTGCATGTCGTCCAGCACCTCCATGGCCAGGCCGTCTGCCCTCGGACCGAGCCGGCTCACAGCGAAGTTTGCATCGGAATTCGAGAGTTTGCAGACGACGGATGTGGAGAGGCCTAAGGTGCCGCACGAAGAAAGCCCATCAAGAGTCTATGGACGACGTGCTGAAGCAATCAAACACTGTCATTGCACGTCCGGATCGTTGCAGTCCTTCTTGTACCGTGGGTGTATCACGGGATACAGATACGCTCGTTCCCGTATCTCAGGCCGCGGCAATGGAGAGGCACCTGCTCGATGGATTCCAAAGCTTGGTGGTGACAAAACTCTGTTTACATGCACATATACATCTTTGAAGAGCAAATGACGTAGAATGATGATGTAAAATGTAAACAAAATTGCACAGGTCACAAAAGAAACAAAGTGATACCTTTCTCCCAGACAACAGCGAGTTGACGGGATGGAGCACTGCTGGTCTGCTGGAATATCCCAGAAGAAGTCTACGACACCCAATCCGACTGACTTGAATGCATGTCACAACAAAAAGTCTACGTTCCCTGGCAAAAACCAATGACATTCCAATTGACACGAGCTATCAAAGCCTCGCAGGTGCGTGCCAACTCGCACCAAAACCAAAAAGAACAAAAGCCCCGCGTTCACGCAGGATGGATCCCGCATTTGCCACCGCCGGCACCAGATTTCCCGACGCACCGATCTCGGCCCCTAGCCAAGCCCACCGGCCTCGCGCACCACTCAGGAGGGTGGGTTGGAGAAGCGATCGCTTGCCGCCCCTCTTTGGCATCTTGAAATCTTGAAAAATCAATGCCTCGAACGACCCGGACAGGCAGCTGGGCATGTCGCTTGGCATCTCTCAGATGTGGCAGCTTTGCAAGGGAGGAGGAAGGGAGTGCTGCTGATGAAAAAGGCGGACGAAGACTGAAATGAAAATTAGCACGCAAAGCAAGCTCTCTATCAAAATAAATAGATAACATCTGAAATGCACGGAAGAATCTTGACCTCTGCCGTCATGCCTACACCTCTTGTCACATTGGTCATAGTCTCCAAGAAACAACCAAACGACTTGACAGCAACAGTTTCCAACTGCAGTCTGGCTAATTTCAGGAATACGGCCACAAGCACCAAACTTGACCTCCGACCCTCATCTCCCTCGGGCCCTTTTCTATCCCAAAGAGATGCATGGCGACCGCGCGCCGCGGTCAGGGGGGGCACGCGCCGCTTCGCGGGGCGGCCGCCGAGAAATGGGAGGCGATCCATCTCCTCCCCACCGCGGGACGCCCAATCCGCGGAGGGAAGCGCCCCCTCCGCGCGTCCCAACGGCACATCCCCTCCTCATCGCTTGGAGGCAGCCTGCGGGCGCAGGTGCCAGGGGTGCCAGGGGTGGCTTAAAAAGGTGTCCCTTTGCAACCGGGGGGGGCTTTTGAGGTTTGGATGCGGTTCTGCATGGCAAAGCCAAAAACCACCATGCATCTCATCGTTCCATAATGACCTTCTGTGAAGGTTTGAAGAAAAATATGAATTAATGAATAACAATGAAAACCAACGCGGTTTCACCCCGACTTCTGCATTCACTTCACTCACTCCCCACCGCCCCTACCTTCGTTTTCCCGCCTTGGCGGCGATCCGGCGCTCGTTGGCATCCAGGATGGCCTGCGCCACCGCCACGCGGTCAGCGATGTGGGGAGCAGTGGAGCGGAGCATGTGTCATGGATGGCTGATGTGAGGTCAGCCTGGAGATGATAGAAGTGGGCTCCAGGAAATTGGCCTGCGTAGTCATACGCACGATCATCTTAGATTCGAGAACTGTGCACTACCAGCACTGGTCAACAATGATAGCACTGATTCCAGAAAGAAATTGACCATCAGCTCTGAGCCATCCTCCACCGAGTTGGCCGGTCAACAATACCGCGGTTTTCCACCCCTCACCGCTCCGAGTGCTGAACCCAGGCGCTTTCCGAGCTCAGCCGCGCCTTGCGCATGGCAATCCGCTTGGGGGTGACCTCCAGCTTCTCATCGTCCAAGATGTAGCTTAGGGCCTCAGACCACAATGCCGACAGCGGTGCCGACAGCGGTGCCGACAGCCATGCTGACTGAGATTGGAAAGAAGGCCTCACACCACCCTCTGCCCTCTGCACATCCAAAGCCGAAGGTCAAAGAGCCGAAACATCAGTATTGGGCTTGCTCAATTGCTAAATGCTTGGCTTTCTCATCCTCAGATGTTTAGCAATAATGTCCTCCAGCCTGCCGCTCTTCAACACCTCCAGCCCTACAGCTACTACAGCCCCTACACCACTCTCCAGCCACCTTTCCCCACGACTCCAGCCACCTCGCACCTCCTCCAGCCGCTTCTCAGCCGTCTGAAAGTTGGCGGCCGTCTGGTATCCGTCGTGCTTCCTCCCAACGCCACTCGTGCCGCGCTCGTGGATCATCCCACCCGACGCCACCCGCGGGGGGCACCCGAATGGGCTCGAAACGGACCCAAGGCCGGTCTGTAGAAGACCAGTTGCTGCTCAAAATGGCCTTCAGATGCCTTTTATATAATGGAAAGAAACCAGCTTTAGAAGGAGTCTGACGGATGACGGTGTATTTCCTTTGAATCTGGCCATTGAAGCAACAGCTCCAAAGAAAGATGAAAAGCCAGAAAGCCATCCACTGAAGTGAAGTGGTGCCTCCGGGCAGTTATACTGTTATACTATATTATATATCTGAACCACCGAGCTTGATGGTGTTGGACTGCTAGCTGCTCCAGCTGAAGAACATGAAAGAGCTGAGGACGTCCAATTAAGAAAACAACTCATTCACTGTGGTGCACCTTCTCACCTCCAACCTTCCATGAATGGAGGTCAAGGAGTTGCCTTATAAAGGGACCCCAAAGGAATCTCATCTTCGCCTCTGGCCCCCGCTACCACGCGCGCACTGGCAGGGGTCTGGCCAGCTCTGGCCCCAACGGTTGCGCCTGGCGATGTTGGTGTCAATGTCATTCATGCCATTGTTCTCGCCGAAGATCATTCCTGCCCGGCCAAAAGGAGTGTGGAGCACCGGAGGAAGCAACACTGCTAAGAGACGCAGGTTAGTCCTCCCCGCAACAAGGAATCTGTGGCCAGGAAGTGGCTTGCAAAAGTGGTTGAAGTTGCTACTCTTGGAGGAGACATTCTTGAATCGGGGCAAGGCATAGGTGAGGCAGAATGCTTCATTCAAGGCCTTCTCTCTCGCAGGTACCTTTCGCAGGCGTTCCCATCCAATGCAACCACCCGCTTCCACCACAACCTCGCCTCAGCCGCTGACAAAAGAATCTGCCCCCCCGGCACAGCAAGCTTTCCACGCAACGCAAAACGGGAAACGGCTGCCCCGGGGCCTGGGTACACTTCGATGCCTTCCGCAATGAAGAGCTTTCCCAGGCGAGCAGCCTGAGAGAGACTGCGAGACTGCCATGGAGGAACCCTGCTCGAACCTCATGGATCGTCAGCTTTGAGACCAGGTGGACCAATCTTGAGATGTCGAGGTCTCCATCGTACCTCCGCTGCGTGCGTCGACGCCACAGAGCCTTCCCCAGGTCCACGCTGGTAGCTGTCCCAGCAGTGTTGGCCACCAACACCCCGCTCCTCTCATGAGTGCAGTCATCGCAGTGGTGCAGCAAAGACAAGACACAAAACAAATAGCCATGAAACAACAGATGTCACCCATGCCATGTCTGAGCAATTGGAGTGCGTTCAATCAAACACAAACCAACCATGGTCAACATGATGCTGACTCACTCAGCCGCTTCCAGCATCTCTTGTGCAAAACAGGTGGCACACGCCCCGTCCGCCCACCGTCTTCTCATTCTCCGCTGCCCCCGGATGCGGACGTCTTCTCGAACACCGTTGACGTCCGAGAACCGTCCCGGTGAACCCACCGCTCCTATCTTTCGGCGGCTTGGGGCCCTGCGGCCTCATGTCCTGTGTCGGGTGAACCCGGTGAAGCGGCGCGCTTCAAGCGGGCACGGACAGGCCGGGGGAGGACGAAACTGGCAAGGTCCGCGCTTTTCGCATGCAAATGCCATGGACTACAGTACACATGTTGAAAAAGCTCGAGCCTGCCAAAACCCCCTTTCCAACTTTCACCTCAACCGATTTCCTCCATGATGATCTTTGACACCATGGTCCGGATCATTCCGGATCCAAACTAACTCCACGGTTCAGGAGAGCGTCCTGAACCGTGATGTTGGATTCATGCAATCGTACACTCCCAATGACACACGAAGTCTGCCCATTGGAGGCTTTCCGAAGTCTGCCCACCTTGAAGTCTGACACGACTGTAGCAGTCCCACCAGTAATCTCCTTCAACCAACCTGAGAGAGGCGGCTCTGTTCATGACGCCATTTTCCGCACAGGTGTTCTAGATCACCTTGCAAACTAGGCATTTCGGCTAGTCTGGCGGAGTATGTCAACAACCCTCATACAGTACCGTATCCAGGCTCAAGTTCAATCACATGAATGAGAACAAAAGAAAACAAGGGCGGGATGTACCTAAATAAGCACCAAAACTTGAGAAGAAAACAAAAGAGCAACACACATGTTGAGCCTGATGCATCTGGGGATACCGTATCTCCAATCCAATTTACACTGTGTCCCACCCAAAAGTAAGCTGCCGTGGCAGCTTTCGCCAGGCCACTTCGGAGGCCCAGCATCGAAGAGGTGGAGGCCTCGAAGAGGTGGAGGGCAGCGACTCTAGAGACCAACATGGAAGACGAACAGGTCGTTTGGGGTGGTTCAGCTCGACACCCATTCACCTTTAAGGAGCTATGACCTGGAACCTGTCGGGGGCCAGTGTTCTCCATGTTTCATGGCTGGCACGTGGACCTGTGGAGCATTGCTCTGAGCACATCGCCGCAGGTCTGCCCCAAGCAGTGAGCGGATGGAACCACACTGGGGGCGGATGGAACATGCGTTGAGATAGGTCCTCTTGTGGTGGAAAATCAGTAGACTAGGAGGTGTGAACCACTTTGGTTTGTCTCCAGAGTTGCAACCCACAATGTCAACATGTCAACTGCATCTTTTCTGAGGAACTCCTTTGATCTGCCCCTCACACTGAGCCTGACAAGCTGAAGGAAATGGGAAACCTTGCGAAAGCATGTCCAACCCAAACGTCCCCAAACCAATCTCAGTCTCAGCCTCCGCCTCCTGGCTGTCGCATGTCCCACTTGCTCAACAAAAGTCCAAAACACACCCTGGTTGACCCCTGATCCGGATGTCAACCCACCATGGTTTTGGTTGGGGAAGGTGCCATGACTCACAGTTTTGATGTGCTTTCCCGGCCTCCAGTTTGATCGTCTGGCGATCGCCCACGGTGTTCATGTCCTGGACCTTCGCTCCGCGCACGGACATGCCTCGGCACGACCAGCTGCGTGGCGTGGTGAGGTGTGTCGCAGCAGTTTTACTCGAAAGAATTGGACAGCAGTCCACAAATTGGCGCCAACTGGGGTCAAGTATTTGGTCATTGTAACCGTAGTGCGATGGGGAAGTCGCGCATTCTTGGCTCCGTGGTACCCAAACGTCCCCAGCAAGCTTCTCCTGCACGATCTTGAAGACCCTCACTCTGGGCCCCGAAAGGGCTTGCAACTCTGAAGCACCGAACAACTTGGGTAGGTAGACGTGACAGGGTGCAGTTGGTGGCATAGTTGGTGGAATGGAGCTATTCCACCAACAGCAATGCGAGAACTGTGCGGTAGACAGCACACTCACTCGCCCCAGGGGGCCCTTTAGCGCTGGCACCAAAGCCTTACTCGCCCAAAACCAACACACCGAAACGCCCAAACTCACAACTGGAGTCATTCCATCTGGCAGGCTCTACCAATGGTTCCCAGCTGAAAGCCCGGGATGGTGGCGTGGAAAAAGGGACAGTCCATCCTGCAGAAAAAGAATCCAAGGAAGATCATGTTTGAATAGTTTCGAAGGAACATCTTTTCACAATCCGCCCAGGCACGCTCCATCACTTGACTGCCGTGACTCAAGTCCACCTGATGAATTGACTGAGCGATGATCGAATCCAAAAAAACGTGCGCAGGGTCATGCGTAAGATCCCTCTCTACTCATTGATTCGAATAGGGCCTGTGGTTCGTCACAGTGCTGGAAACTCCAAGTTTGGGTCCCGCACACAGAGGGGACGATGTCCAACATGGATTATATACTTCACATCAACCCTCGGAAAACTACTTCTATCTGAGCATACAAGAAGACATGAACTGTACGTGGAAGGGCCAAGGCATCTCGCAGGTCAATGTGTTGCAAGGGTGTGCAAGCCAAAGATCAAGTGGGCTCATTCTAGGCATGAGTATCAAGCATATAAGTAAATGTTTATCAAAGAGCATCAAGACTGTCCTGTCTGGTGATGCTGACTTTCTGTTGTTCTCGCCTCGATCTGCACATCCTCCCAGGGCTCCAGGATGGTGCCATCCTCGCCTGAGGCGTGTCTTCCAGGCTGCCAGGTAACACAGCGCAGGGAGTGTAGCTCGAGTCTGTGGTCCACTGAACCAAAAGGGATTCCTGGAACTCCAACTCAACCAACTCTTAACCACCCATCCTCCCACCCACCATCCACCTACCATCCACCTCTAAGAGTCGAAACATCGCGGTGTCGCGGAGACTGGGGCAGCTCCAGCCTCTTGGATCGGCGGTAGACGACCGACGTGTCTTTGAGGCTGCCTTGATGAAATTCAGCCAACCAGTCCGATGAGATTGGTGCTCCTGGACCTTGAAAGGGGTGTCCAATGGAGATCCCTGGGTAGTGTAGGGGTCTCCATTGGCGACCCCTTTGAAGGTGCTGGCTATTGGACCTTGTCGGGCGAACCTTCAGCTTCCTCCCCGGCCCCAGCACGACCAGCACCCACGACGAGCCTTGGCTCTTCACCACCGTGGGCGGGGAGAGGGACATCTCGTAGCCCTCACGTCGCATCTCCTCGATGAGGATCCCCAGTTGCATCTCCCCGCGCCCTGAGAAGGGAAGCGTGGTGGGGTGAAGGGAAGGAAGCGTGGCCAAAGCGCCAAAAGGACGCTTTGGCCGCCGTGTTTCATGTCAAGTGCAACACCGCGTTTTCTGTGGCAGGACATGTCACAGACAGACTCCGATTCCACATGGTCCACATTTATACATCCCTCAGGTGGCGTGGAAACCCCCGACACCTCGGATCTCGAAGTAGTCTCGGTTGGGCGAGGGCTGCACCTCCTGGGCTGAGGGACGAACGTCGTGTCGCCTCTTCCCGTACAAACGCAGGAGACGGGCGATTCAAGAACGGACCAGAGAGGGCTGAAAGAGAAACAGTTTGGAGCGTTGATGTTGCTGAATTAATATGTTTGAATGGATACAGCTGTTCTTGGAAAATGACTAGTGCAAAAGTAAATAACAGTGAACTTGGGTTGTTGTGATATGACTTAAACTATGTCTCAAATTGACTCAAAATAAGTATCCAGAACAGCCACCAAACCCCTCACCAGCAAGCACCACCCACTCCCCCACGCAGACCCACTCACCAACACCCTCACCCTCACCCGCTCCCACACACTTGCTCCCTCACCGAGCGTCGATGGCCGGGTTCGTTAAGGCCTCCTTGTCCAACCGTTCGCCCAACGCGTTCAGCGTGATGTACTTCCCATCCTGGTTCGTTTGCATCGGTACGCCCAGCCCTACGCCGTCTCAACATCTCTTCAACAAAACCGACTGCTGAGCATGCGGGGTGAGGAGTCATGGCTTAGATCCCCCCGAAGCATCCAATCCGTGAACTCTCCGGACGCCCAGCCGTCGTCCTTCTAATCCCCAGCTGCCCAGCTGAATCCGCAGGCTCAACACCTCCACACCCCATGGAGGTGACCCGTCGTG